GTCGGAGTGCAATCATCTTGATCTTGTAATTGGCGAAGCTTCGGTAGGCTTTTCAAGTTCGGACGTTAGTTCGCGGTTGCCTGCAGCTCGTGCGATTCCACGCTGGCGTATGAGCTCGAGTGTTTCTGGAGACAAACGTCTCTCGGTGACTTTCGAACCTTCAGCTTTCATAGCTCTAACGTGAAGGTGTTCAATAAGCCGATCGTATTCCTCGTCGATGTTATCAACAACGGCATCTTCCCAACAGCCGACTAATGAATTGAATAAGTCCCAGTTTGCGGTAGTTCTGGAACTTCGGTTTTGGAATTTAGCGGCTTTTTCTCCTTTCCGCGAGAAAGAAAATATTGTACGAAGGAGGCGATGGTCTGATCCCGTGTAGAATTTTTGGACAACAGCGACATTGGTTAGGCAAAACCTGTTTACTATGATGTGGTCTATTTCGTTATGGTACTCTCCATTGTGAGACTCCCACGTCCAGCGTTGAGGGTTGGACTTCCGAAATTGTGAATTACCATGCATGGTCTTGGTCGCCATGATAAATTCAGATAGCCGCTCGCCCCATTCGTTCCATTTTAATCCGTGGGTCTCAAAGTGACGCTCTTCAGACGTTCTTCTTGGTCCAGGCTAGGCGTTGAAATCTCCAATGATGACCTCGAGGAATGTGTGGTCTTCTCTGTAGAACTTCTCCAAGTCCATATAGAACGCTTCAACTTTATCTTCGTAATAGTTTGACGTGGGCGTGTAAACAACGAAGATTGTCCAAGTCGGTATTGGCCCATATCTTTTTAATCGCAAACGTCCGACTCGTGTTGTAAGGTGTTCGAATGAATCAATGTTCATGGACAAACTCGTGTTGACGAGAGGGCCTATGCCGCGGACTCCTCTACTGTCGCATGTCCCGAGGAACAGTTCTTCTCCAGTGTCATAGAGGGCGTTGGATGGGTGGTAGCATCTGCTCCCGGCGGGGCCGGTGACGTCTTACCTTATCTTTCTTGCTTGCATGAGCAAGTCTTCTATCGAGGACTCGGATGCAGGTGTACGTGCATTGTAAGTACAGATCGTCACGATAGTTCTTTAAAATCCAGGCAGCTTCCACTGGCCCGGAGATTTTAGCAGCCTTCCCGTACTCGTTCTACCCAACGGTGGAAAATTGAGGGCTCTTTCAGGGTCAGGGGAATGAAGCCCGTTTTTTTTTTACTGTGTTTAGCATTTCGATACCCACGTATAGCTTGCTGGGCTCTGAACATGGGGGCTGGGTGTACTCACGGGTAGCTTGCCAGGCTATTCCCAGAGTGGACATGGAGCTTATTTGTTGGAGGCGACTCTTGACTGCCTCGCATATACTTCCGGTCACTTGATTGCAGGCTTTTGGCCGAATTGACTCGTAGAATACAGTCCACATAAGCGAGAACGCATCCACACACGCATGCATGAATACGCCTAGCAAATACCGAAAGTATGTGCCTAATCGGCGCAGCAGAAACAGGGAGTCCATGCCCTGGATCCACCTGCGTCTCACGGAAGCAAAGGTCGCTTTTGTTCCGCGATTAACCCCCTATTTGCCACCCTGGGACGCGCCACGTAGCCTCGCGACTAACCTGCTCCAGGTCCGTCATATGAGGATATGAGGATGGACTCAAGAATATATGTACTAATATTCACCGATAGGGCACGTGTGACGCACTGGTCGGAGGCGCCCTGCAACATACCTCGAATCGATCCCCGCTGCCATGGCCCCCAAGCCTTCCATCCCTCTGGGTCGGTAAATTGGTACCAGACTTGTCTGGGAGGGTAGCACCATTGGCTCGATACATCAGGAAGCCACCGCGAGTCCTTGTAAAGGCCATATATGTCTTCAATCACTTTCAAGCCATACTTAATGAAGTCTCATGCATGGAGCATCCCTCAGGGACTGATCGACGCCGAGAGCTTTATCCTTTATTCTTCCTATTCATCGATATACTGAATTGAAAACACTCTCCGATTTCGAAATCTTACTGCCATCTGATTAATGAGATAGGCTTTTAGTCAACTGAAATTAGTAAATGAAATCATACAATAAAATGTAACAAGTATTCTTTCCTCACACTTTCTCTCAACATGTTGACGTGAGAGTATGTTCGAAAATTGACTGGTTAATAAAATCATCTTCGTCCTTTAAGCTGCCTGTTACTGTTTTCAGCTTACTAAATTTCGAATATAGGTGATTCTAAAGGATAAGTACCAAGCTTCAGTGTTCTGTTTAGAAATACGCTTAATGAAACTGTATAAAAACTTTGTATAACACATGTTGAACACTTTATGCTAAATGTGCTAAACGTCAGCCACTTAACTGATAGCACAGTTGCCGAGATCCATTGTCGACGCCGTTCTATTGACGACGAACGTCATAACTGTTCGTCGACAGAAGGATACGATAGGTGTTGGTGTGATAATGATCAATGACGCCCTGATACGGGTTTAGCAGCCATCATAAACACGTTATACAAAGAAAAGTCTAATCTGAATTATCACTGACTTGATTAATTGACGCTTGACAGACGGGTGCGATGCTGCACTTGATTACGCCTGTAGTCACGTAACACAGGAAGAAAAGGAAATTTTGAAAAACACCCTTTTCTTATTTTATTTACTGCCTACTCTCTTTCTAATGGCAGGGTATATTGCGAAATAGAACTTCAATGATGCTGAGATGTTTGCAAAACTGCGGAGAGACAGGCGAAACGAAGGACCCGCATGGTGTGGTGGTGAACGCGCTACCTCCCGGAAAGGACAATAGCGCGTTCGTTCCCCACCGCAGACGCCTGCGGTCCGGAGTTTTGCAAATATCTCAGCATCATTAAACACCCCTTTGTCTATAGAAAAATTGAAGTAGTCAGAGTAGTAGACTGACGAGTTGTTAAGATCTGGCTAGGTAATAAGACAATAACTTCGTCAATGAATGCAATTCAGAGGAAGTTATATCGACAAATTTTCATCAACTACAGAAAATTGAACAAAAAGAGATTTCAACCTTCCTCTCTGTCTTCTCCCGTTCCTTCGTTGTTTCATTCAATTCATATCCACTAAGTACTAACAGTAATTTGGCATATTTCAGCAATTATTTGTAGGATAATCACATGTACAGGAGGCGGATAGCACAGTGGTAGTGATGCCGTCATTACGATCACGGTACTGGCTCGATCCCACCCCAGGTTCAACGAGCCTCCCACTCTCTGAAGACGAGATATTGGTACCGAACTTATCCGGGAAGGAAAATCATGTTCTGCCATCTAATTGGGGACGTTCCAGCCCGGCTATTTTAGCATACAAGGAGAATAGACTCGAACAACATTCTACTACATTTATGATAAAATAAAAGTCCTTAAGCAGCAGCCGAAGCCACATGTGGAAATTGCAAGAGCTTCGTAGATGATGTGTGCGAGGTAACGAATCGAATATGAGAAGTGCTGGGACCCGCTGTGAAGTAGATGTGAAGAGGAATCGTGTGAAAAAATCTCACCTGCACGCGGTGTTCTTAGGTGTTCTGGATTTAGAAAGGTGCCGTCAGTATCATCACTAAGATCCCATGCCTTCCTAACAATACTGATAAAAGCCCGACGTTTGATTGACAACGTCAACGCGGAACTCGTTCACATGACATTCCACGAAGGACGACGGAAACGTGTAGGAAGGACAGTCGTCTTTAGAAATTGAACTCATCACCGCTTAGTTTAGCGTTGTTCTACCATATCATCTCGACAAATTCGAATTACATCATAGATTTTACCGAAACGTTACGAAACATCCGGGTGTGGTTACAAACAACTGAACTAGGTAAGATTCTAGTGGATTCAATGCTAAGAAGATTTCGATTCAAAGAAGATATGGTCAAAGATTTCACTAGGCTCTAGTTAGAAGAAGCGTTAAAGAATAGAAATATTATTAGGTGCTACCACCTTGTTTTTGGAGATTCTGTTCCCGAGAACTACAACAACTTAACTCTGAAATATTTAAAAGCGTCAAAAACAAAAATAAAAACTGAGAAGCTCGTCAAGAATTAAATGCTGGAGGATAAGCTAAATAACAAGCTTGCTATTGTAGAAAGCCAAAAATTACTCACGTTCTTCATTTTAAAAAATGCTTCCAGCTTCCCACCTTTTCGTTAATTTTAACATTAATTTCCTAGGAGCAACACAAAGCTTTTCTTCCCAAAGGAGTATTTTAAAGCGTTGCCTTTCTTTTCCCAGTTTTCGTGGAAATTTCTCGCACATGCGAAAACGATGAGTTTAAGTGAATATTGTAATTCCGTCATATCTGAGGTCAGCAGAAAGTCCTCAGTCGAAGGGCGGTGTTTTACATGAAATCACTGGAACCTCTTCCCGTTAGTGTACGAAGTAATTATGATAGTAAGACGATACGATAAGTATCACACAGTTTGTTTCGACCCGTTCAATCATGATTGTGACCGCCATCAGTGCGAAAAACTTAATCTGTCCTTCTTCACGTTTTTGCGACATTCCGTGTCGAATTTGATGATGACGGAACTTTTCGTAAATATGTTTTTACCATCGACAATTATTGTTTCCATTCTCAATTTTCTACTACTGTGATAGCATTGGTATACGGTAGCATAAAAATGTGACGATGACAGTTTCACTTTCGGTTATCGATTTAGCAACATCTACACACACGTACACAAATGCACATACACATGTACACGCTGAAGATGGTGATTGTAACAAGTAACGGTATAATGATGACTCTCAGCAATTTCAAGACGGATTTCGATTTTTTAAATGACGTCAAGGATGTCATACGAGTATGAAAGCAGTTTAAAAATTATACAGGGAGACACGTATTGGGGAAAGTCAGAAGATAAGAAAAAAATGAAAGCCATGTGTAGAAGGAAAAACGAATAGATATTTCCCAAAACATCTTTCTTCTTTTTTAAGCATTGTGAAGTGTTGAAAAATGCTGTCTTTTTTTGATAATGATTTCTAAGTAGAGAAAAATCGTACCTGCTTGTTTTGTGATGTCGTTGCTTACGTAGATTCAAGTCGGGCAGGCTGTTCGCTAAAGGACTTCGTGAATATGTGGCGTCTATGAATTGAGGATATGATATCTCGGGACTAGACGGTGGTGATTCTTCCTTGACAGGAACAGATGGATAGTACGTAGTGTTAGGGATAACGGTAGAAGTTGTCGGCAGCGGTGAACAGTGGTTGTTGGCAAGAGCACAAGTGGAAGTACTGTAGGTACTAGGAAATGACGGTTGGCGGCAAGTGGCGGCAGTTGGAGATGATTGACGACAGTTGGCGACAGAGTATGAGAATGCAGCGTTAGGAAACATCGGTGCCAGCGCGGGGGGCAGTACTGGTGCCTCCCGAATGGGCTCGTCGTAGAGGCGGGGTGTCCGTGTATGAATACCTAATGTCGGTGTCTCGAGTGGACCGTAGGCTAGCCGGCTGACCTCACCGATACGAAAATTTTCTTGGTCCAAGAACTCACTGATATCATCCCATACCTAGAAAATTTCGTGTTATTTAAGGAATATAAACATGGTTTTACAGAAGAATTTATTCTGCTGGCCGGTTCTAATCGCTGTTCCGAAATGATCGAAGACTTTTTTTTGCCGGAGTATAGACTTCCTTGGTATTGCTGTTTCGTCTTCACGAAATATGACACATTTTAAACTAAAATCCCATTCTCTCAAGGAAGTTCCAGGCGGCAAGTCGCAATGTTGACACACCTCTTAATAGTATAAGCCATTTGCGTAAAAGGACAAAAGGATAAAGCTCTCGGCGTTGATAAATCCCTATGGGGTGCGTCATGCATTCGACTTCATTATGCAACGTATGGAAGTGATTAAACATATTTGGTCTTTACAATGACTCGTGGTGGCCTACCGATATATCGAGCCAGTGCTCCTGTCATCCCCGACAAGTCTGGTACCAATTTGCCGACTTCGGAGGGTTGGAAGGCTTCGTGGGCCATGGGAGTGGGGATCGATTCCACGTGCCCATCGCAGTGGTGCCTCCAACCACTGCGCTACACGCGCCCTTTAGGCATTTACATATTTAATTACAAATATGCTAAAAAAGTTAATATGCTTTAGTAATCAACTACACTAACCATCACCTGTCGCATAGTTAAAAATGGAACGTTCTATGGTTCATTTCATATAATTTCATTCTATCTGTAGCAGAGAAAATAATACTGGAAAAACTGTTTTTATGTAGACATAAATATTCCAAAGAGATAAATTTGCGGCTAGAAAATCGATAAGTGCGAGAGATCGCTGTAGAAACGTAGTTTTAAAAGCGAAACCAAAAAAAAGAAACAAAGCGGTTAAAATATCGCACTCACCTCGTTTAGATCATGGCTGATGACTTGCGTCATCTTCTTGGACGGATATCTTTAGGTGTGTGTATATGTATGTGAGTCTGTGTGTGTATACCTATGTATGTATATTGTGTTTGTGTGTGTTTTCGGTGATAGTGTTAGAGGATGACGACGGCGTGGTGGTGGTGGTCGTCGCCGGGTTGGAGAACAAGTTGTCGGCGAAGACCACACCCACCACTCAACGACTGACCAATGAGAGAACGATCGCTTAACAGACCCCGCCCACCATTGCAGTCATCGCCACCTTGACAAAAACTGTTAACAAATTACTGACGGACTTAATGAGTCATATTTAAGCAAGAGCAAAGACCGTCGAGTTCGGAATGGCCTTCGAGACAGAGGACGAAGAGGACAAAAACACAAACGCTGAGAACATCGGGATGACAACAATATTTCACTGGAGCAGTGATAATGTCATAAAATCTCAATTTCATAGAAAGATGACTAGTTTCTCCGCGCTTTGTGTGTTCTCAAGTTTAAATTATGACGAATAGAATAGGTATTACAAGAAATATTATGACTAAGTACGCCGACAATTGGCGGCGACTATTCTCGATGTGCAGCGCGGAGTATTTTCTATAGGTAAACGATAACATTGCCATTATTTTATTTCCTTTTTGCATGTTCAATGTGAGGTAACTTCCTAATGGATAGCCCAAACCAGAAAAAAAAGGCCAAAAAAGGTGCTAATGAAAGAATGAATCATTCTGGACATCCAGAATAATGATCTACTGGGAAGACATGGAGGAAAGGTTATGAAAAAAGGATAAAGCTCCTGGCGTTGATCAATCTCTAAGCGATGCGCCATGCATTCGACTTCATTAAATATCGTTGCAGGTGATTGAATGCTTATCTGGCCTTTATAATGACTCGCGGTGGCCTACCGATGTGTCGAGTCAGTGCTGCCATCCTCCCAGACAAGTCCGGGACCAATTTGCCGACCCCAAAGAGAAGGAAGGCTTGGTGGGCCATGAGCACGGGGATCGATTCCACGTGTGTTGCGATGGCGCCTCCAACCACTGCGCCACACGCGCCTCATTAACAGGCTATATAGTGAGAAATCGATAATGGTACAATCAACAACAAAAATAACGTCGTTGAAAATTAGAGGTGTGTGTAATTCAGTGGTTAGAAGCGCACTTCAATACATACTGGATCCCTGGTTTTAACCCACGTCAGGGTTCCCCAAATCCTCGATCCCACGATTTGCATAAATTTTTACCAGATTTGTCTGAGAGGATAGGAAAACTAATCTGATAAATCGGTGAGCAACGGTAAGTGACTATATAGCTTAGATGTTCGTTCAATCCCCTTTACGTTACTTGATAAAGCCAAATGCATAGAGCATCTTTCTGAGACCAATCAGCGCCAAGAACGTCTTCCCTCATAGAATCAATAATCTACGAAAACCATCGTGCAAAATGACATCAGCACTTACTTAAACTTTCCGGATAGTTGGCCACTTCAGCGGTAGTTGAATAAAACAATTCATTTTTTATACTTTTACCTTTCTAAGTTTCTTCTTTATTAAGAACCACTTATTAAGACTACTGTTTGTAAGGGTAAAGCTCAGCATTACATCACCCGTGAACTGTCTTGTTACCGGTGGCCATCCAGAATTCGATTAAAACGAAAGAATTTAGGGAATAGTATAAATTACCAGGCTTTAAAGTTAATTTCGCACTTCGTCCTTTTATTTTGTTGACAGCTAGGCAAACATTAATGAAATCCGGCACCGCCCATCCACTGACCAACTGCAAAAGAACGAACTGTCCAACTGCTACTATCGCTATGCAATAATTTGTTACAACCGCTTCAATTTTTCTATTTTCATCTTTTCATTTGTTTCTTTTCAGCCTGCCCTTTTGGTTGTGATTCGAAAACCACTATTTCGTTATCATCAAAAACAAGACTAACATTCTTGTAATGAAAATCAAGACGTAATGAATGATAAACAGATATCGAGCAACTAGAACTATTGGATTTTAATTAAAGGATAAAGGCGTAAGGCTCTCAACGTTGATCTATCTGTGAGGGATGATAGTCCGTGTGTTCGACTTCATTAAGCATCGTTGGAGGTGACTGAATGCTTATTCGGCCTTTACAATGACTTGCGGTGGCCTACTGATGTATCGAGCCAGTGCTGCTATCATCTCAGCCAGGTGTGGTACTAGTTTGCCGACCCAGGAGAAGTGGAGGGCTTGGGGCGAAGGGAACGATGCCATTTGCTTTGCTTGGAACCTCATACTACTGCGCTACACGCTGATTTTAATTAGAGAATTTAAAGTACACTACTCAGTTTGCACTGTTCCATTTAAATCAATTATAATTGATTCTGACGATCTATGAACTTTTTCGAGAATCGATGGATCAGGTGTTTCAATGAGGTTAGTACCGACCCGGTCATAGGACATTTCGTCGGTGCTTTAGAGTCCCCTTGTAATCTTCTCTCTTAACTTGGATAGCAGTTAGGAATTTGGAAACCCATGAAAGTTAATTTATACAAACTCTTTTGATTTGTGGCGATAAGACTCAAGTGTTCTCTGTTCCATTTTGCTGCATTGGTGTTCCTAAACATTGGAACAACTTCTCTTCAGAAAGTCTCTGTCTTTCATTTATGCAGCGTCTACTAAAATGGGCTGCAATACACATCGGTTCGGTCCCACGTCCCAGGACCATCGAAACTTCCATTCTTCTGAAGTCGGTGACAAATTGGTACCAGATTTGTTTAGGAGGATAGCAGGACTGACTTGATACATCGATAAACCACACGAGCCATTTTATATGCTAGATATGCATTCAGTCTCTTCCAACGATGCCTAATGAAGACGAATTCGTGGTACATCCGCCAGGGATTAATGAATACTGCGTACTTTCTCTTCTTATGTACCAGCAAGCAACGTGTAGACTTTGAAGAGCACTTCTTGTGGTTTCGGCTTTTGTGAATCGATGGCAATATATTAGGTTGTAACATATGAAATGTTGAATTTTAAATACAAACTTCAAATAACCATAAGTTCCGTTATACCAATTTCGTTAATGAAAATAAACACCATTAAAACTAGCAGATTTTTTCAACAAGAAGCAAATTTACTTATTTCGCTTGCCTAAAATTCTGGAGCGATAAATTCGTTGACGGCATTTTTTTGTCATCGTGGTCGGTGAATCACTTGTCGTTCAGGTTGTCAAGGTTCTTAAAGAAGTGATAGTCGACAGGCGAGGTCTGGAGAATATAGGAGATGAGACAAATTTCGTAGCCCAACTCGTTCAACTTCTGCAGACCTGGTTCAGCGAAGCGAAGCCAGCAGTTGTCGTGCAGAAGGGTTGGTCCTTTTCTGCTAACTAATGCCGGTCGTTGTTGCTGGAGTTTACGGTGCATTTCGTCTACTTGTTGGCATTTCTTCTCTGCCATAATCGTTTCTCCCAGATTCAAAAAGTTGTGAGAAACCAGCCCGGCTGCAGACCACCAAATAGTCACCATAACCTTTTTTGGCAAAAATAATTTCCGCTTTCGAAAGCTTTGTGGAGCCTGATCGCATTGAGCGAAAGTCGCCGACTGTCGTACGGAATCCACTTCTCGTCGCACGTCACAGTTCGATCAAGAAAAGGGTCGTTTTTATTGCTCAGAACAAGAGCAGACGACACTTCAAAAGGACGATTTTTTTTGTTAGCGCTTAATTCGTGCGGCACTCACTTGTCGAGTTTTCGTGTCTCTCCTATGCGATTCAAGTTAGTGGAACTTATTCTTGTGCTTAGACCAAGTTGTTCTGTAAGCTCTCGACCAATTGTTCGTCTGTTTGCTTCCACTAGTGCCTTTAAATCATCGTCGCCTAGTTAATTGAGACGTCCGAGGCCTTCCTTAACTTCGAGGTCGAAATCACCAGATCAGAATATTCTAAACCACCATTTTTGCTTTGTTGATTCACCAACACGACCTTCACCCTAAACTTGTGATATTCCGAGCTCCTGTCACGGCATTATGTCCACTCTTCCACTCGTACAAAAAAGGACGCGAATATCACGTTGATTCGTACTAAAGTTAAAGCCTATAAAAATGTTAAAACAATAAATTTCAATAAAACCTGTATTAAACTATTTTAATAAAAACTTTATTAACCTGTATTAAACCTCCCAACGATTTGCCGCCTCATCGTGTCTGGGAGGTGTTCTCGGCTGTCGGACTGCGATGTATAGCGGGCGATTTGTACCCCGGCAGGGTCTCTCATTCTGAGAAGGAGTCCGGCGTTTCCATCAGGAAGCCCAGCTAAGAGCAAACTAATACCAGTATTCACCACCGTCTTGGTGTAAAGGTCGTATGGTGGCAAATCTCCCTCTGATCCACAGGGGCTGCGACTGTCCATGGTGGACCTAGGGCAGACTTTGGCCAGGCTGACCTCGGGATTCCAAGGAGCCACAATGGCTTAAGCAGCAAATTTTCGAAGACCAGTGAGGACGAACCGTTCGAGTATTGTATCATATATCAATGAAAGAAAATAAAGATGCACATCTAAGCTTTTGTCTCGTCTTCATGATGCTTGAGATCTAGAGGAGCTTTCAAACCAGAAGCTACTCAACTCTCTAAAAAACATTCTGTTGGTCTTGTTCTTCTTCACTTTCGCTATGTTAACACTAAGTCTTTCTTCCGTATAGACTTTATGATTTACCAATGATTACGGATTTGTTGAATACAGAAACGAGTTCGAAAGAATTCATAAAAATTTGCTAGTAATTCCCACGAAATTCGCCGTTGACCAGCAGCCATAGGAGTATCTTCTCACTTGTCATCAGGACACCAATAATGATTTCGCGGGAGTGGCCGGTATTGCACCTATAGGTCTCTTTTTTTTCTAGCAGTATATTTTAACATATAGAAAGATTTTCTTGCGATTTCTGCTACCAATTGATAGCTTGTGGAATTCAGATGTTGTATTGAGCGTTGGTCGGTAATCCACACGCTTTATGGCCATACACATGCCATGCAAGTATCTTATTTACTT